AAGCTGGGCATGTAGGTCCCATTTGTCAAGCTGCTACTCTTCCAGGGAGCCACCCCTAAAACTGCACATGCCCAGTCACATAATCTGAAGAAAGCAGAATGCTACCTCTGGCACAAGACTCATTTCTAATTTCAAGTTCATTACTGGGGCCTGAGACATCCATGCTCAGAAGTCCATAAATAATGCTGTGTTTCCAATGGCTTGTCTGAGCAGTCCTGGAATTCCTGTATAATGCACAAGGATGAGAAACCCTGGCTCACACCTCCGCAGAGGGCTGAGAAAGGCCCAAACCCATGCTGCCAATGGTGTGCCATTGGTAAAGTGAATCGATTGACAGATCATTGCTTTCCAGGACAAAACCTGCTAAGGATTAAGGTGTGCTTTTGCAACCCACAAGTTATTCAAATGCTTGTTTCAACTGTCCCAGGAGGATCAGGAAATAGGAAGGTGGGGAAGTCCACAAGAAAGCTAGCATCATCTGGAATGGATGCACATGGCTCAGGAAGACCAAACATGGTTTCAAATGCTTTTCACATAAGGAATCACATTGCTCTCAGAGTTTCTGACAAGCCCAGACACTGATCCTGGGAACTTCTGTCTTTTGTTGTCTTTTTTTGGCCCCTATCCCCACGGGGGCTCAAATCTAGGGCTTCACACATGCTACACAAATGCTCTAGCACTGAGCTCCATTCCCAGATCGCGGGAATTTCTGAATCTTAGAATAAACACAAATGCCAAAGAACAAATTCAAGTGTTTGGGGACCATGGAACCCTTTCTTCCTTTCTTTTTCTGAGTAACCCATATTAGAAGCTCCTGCCCACATTCCAGAGGAGAGCATCTGCCTTGTGTTCAGAGGACTGGAAAGCTGTCATTGGCGTGGCAGCTGAGTAGCCCATCAACCTTGGACTAATCATTTAATTTGGGAATGACAATTCACAGTCAAAACCATGATACCTGTGATCCAACAGAAATGAGCCTGCCTGGACATGGGGACCCATGCGTTATAATTTGAGGAATTATTCATTGGGATTGCAGGCAAAATTCTAATGGGATAAAGGAGCCCAACTTTGAGTACCAGAGCAGGGAGTTTGTTGTGCAAGGGCCCCCACACATTTCAACAAGCCTCTGGGCTTTTCAGTGGGCCTTGTGAGGCATAACCTACTTTGGCTCAGAAGTACAGGAGCAGGTCTCCGGTGGTTTATTAGATGCAATGGGAAAGTTGAAAGAGGCCTGAGTGATGATGTCTTTGCTTACCATTGTCTCACCGGGGCAATCTTCTGGAAACAATGTTCTCGTTCCTGTTTAAAAGGGCTTTCCATTGTTCTGGAACAAAAGCCAAGATCCCCAGGACTGTTCATATATTCCCATGTTATCCGGCCCCATCACCCTTCCAGATCCTTGCTTGTCTCCTTCCCTTTATTTATCTCTGAAGAGTTTATTTCTGTTCCTCCAAAGACTGGATTCTTTCTATGTTAAGCACTGCCTTAGCCCTCTTTACTCTTTAATATCAATTTCTCCTTGATGCTTAGCTCAAATGTCACTTCCTCTGAGAAGCTGTCCCTAAATTCCCCTCCCTATCCCTATTAGATCAGATAAAGCCTCTTACAATATTCCTGCAGAACATCCTATTGTATCTCCAATACTTCCTGCAGAGTCTGGCACATAAGTAATCACAGACCACTTGGGAATGAATGAATCCCTCAGTACTCTCTTAAGGATGAAAGTGACATAAAGTAGAAGGCAGTGTTCTAGAAAGCCAGAGCACTGCTCCCATTCACTTCTGCAAAACTTCTTGGTGACACTGCAGCTGGCCAAACTGCTTTTGGAGGAGTATAAATATCTGTGAGTAAAACACATTCTCTTCTTTCGTTTTGCTTCAGAACACTGAGAGAATGAGGCATGGTAAGCCCCCAAACTGTCCTGCGTTCTCTGATTAAGAACAGACCCATGGTCTGAAGACAGTTCTCTATCTGCCCCTTCTCCAGGGATTGCAGGGGAGAAGCAAGGTAGTCTGCATGTGGAGACTCTGGCCTGACAGTGGTATCCAAAACAAGTAGATACTTTAAAAACTTGCTGACAGTGGGCCTTTGTGTCCTCACTGAGCTGAAGACGAAAACACACACACACACACACACACACACTCGAACAGCCCTGCTTTTAAACACAAAGCATTCATACAAAGCCAACAATGTCCTGGAGTCAATAGTCCTGATCTTCAGGCAGCCTGAGAGGTCCTGGGTTTCAGATGGGTGAGCCAAGGGCCTGGCACGCAGATATCACTATCTAGGCCAGCCCAGCTGGCCTTGGCTAAGCACCTTCTGTGTATAGCAGGAATTTGGGAGACCTCTGGAGACACACACAAGACAGACACAAGACAGTGAGAGAGTAATCCCAGATTATACAAAGAGAAGAATGTGATGAGATGGTAGCCTATTCCTGAGCAGTAAATTTCCTCTATACGAAGTATGCCATTTCTTAAGCTGGGATCCCTCAGGAAATCTTCCTGGAGGAGGGAAGTTTGAGTCTGTAGGAAAACAAAACAAACAGATTGGCAAAGAGTTGAGCTACAAACTGCTGGCCCCACAGTATGCAGGTGCCTGGAGCTGAGAGTTAGGAGTTGTGGTAGAGGATTTGTGATTTGGGATGTCGCTCATGGATCATTTTGGGGAAAGATGAATCCCTTGGAAGCATCTATAGATAAAAAAAATGCTCAACATCTGGATGATGGGGTGAAGTTTTACTCTTCTTTTCCACTGGATGTTGGTACACTCTGCAGATTCAGTGCCTCTCCAATTCTCACACTAGTTCAGGATCCCAAGTGAAATCACTTTGGTCCACCAGCTGGATCAAGGCTTTCTCTCCCCCCAGGCCTGTAACTTCTGCTGTGTAATTTTGCTTGCACTTATCTTTCCTCTTATCCAAATCAACCTCCACGGAAACACAAGTCTTACTGAATTGTAAGTAACAGTGTCCACTCAGGTAAAGATGCAAGAAGGGAAAGCACAGGGCCTGCACTCCACAGCAGCACTTACCTCTCATGAGGGCTCAGAGATGGAAGTACAGTTCAAGCGTCTTCAGCTATAATAGCATTGTGTGTGTGTGTGTGTGTGTGTGTGTGAGTGTGTGTGTGTGTGTGTACTGGCTCTTTGCACTGACCTGCTTTTTTTTTTTAAATTTTGAGACAGTGTCTCAATAAGTCCCTAAACTGCTCAGGCTGAGCTCAAACTTGCAGTCCTTCTGCCTCAGCCTTCCAGGGTGCTGGGGTTATAGTCATGTGCCACCATGCTCTGCTAATAGCTCTCTTTTTGGACAAGCCATTTCCCCAGGGAGAGTCTGCTACTCTAAGCAAAGGCAAGGCAATAAAAGGTCAAGGGTGTCTTTATAAAGCCACAAACAGAGCAAACCACACCTTGCACCTGGTTGGCTTTTGACCCCTTTAAAAGCTGGGACAGCAACAAATGCCAGGATTACATTTTCTATCAGCTGGCCAAGCATCCCTTTTTTAACCTCAGAAACCTCGGTATTGGTAGAGAACAGGCAGGGAGGTACATCCTTGTAGACCAGGTCCTGAGGAACAATAGAAGAAATAAAGGTGGGTAGAAAGGAGACAAGGAAAACCATAAGTTTTAAAAAAATGTTCTTTTAAGAAGACTGCAACTCCAAAACACAAAATTATCCAAAATTATCCATATCAGTATTTGCTACTTTGTTCATGCTTCTTTTCTTCCAGGTCCATCATACCTGGAATCCCTTAAAGATACTTTAGGTCCATAAATTAGACATAAATAGCAGAAACCTGATCTTAAGATAAAGGTTCCCATCTTTTTAAAAAATGGCTCATGCCTTTCACCTGTAAAATGGACCAGTATCTTTCTGTGGGTGGCCGTCCTTTTCTTGTAAACCAAGACAAGCAGAAACTTCCCATAGATTCACAAAGTCCATAGACTTCCTCTGCCAAAAACACAGAAATATTTTCTGCTCCAAACTGCAGTGCACCTTTTTCTTGAGAGCCCACACTCTATTTCTTCGAGTGCATACTTTAAATTTCTCCCTAATAAATCCCTTTATGCCTCTTACATGTCCAGAAAATCCTTTTTATATGATGGTGATATAGGAATGATACAGGAGATGAAATAGGACCTCTAAAGGATATAAAGAAAATATAATTTCCAACCCGTTAGATGTCTGATATGCCAAGTTTGTGTTCTCTAAACTCAAAGAATGAATTCTAGGAAAAATGGAGGTTAAGAGTAGGAAATATTTATTGATAGGATAGCTCCTGAGTGGCAGGAGGGGTCCTGAATGGGTAGCCAGCGACCCCAATTTACAGGGAAGTTTTATAGAGTAAAACCCACAGAAGTATAACGTGGGTTAAAGCTACGACCCACCAATGAGGTTACAAGTATAGTCGCTTAGATAATAGTGATCCAAGGGGGGAAAAAGTCACATAACAAGTGTGCATGGAAAGAACAAAGACGTTTTCTAGGATGTGATGCATCCAGAGTTCCTGGTCACCCACCAGGGTGACTAATGTCCATTTAGGCTTCATTAGGCCAGGTGATACCACTTATCTTGTCCTTTGGGGAAGTACGTAGGCCTGGCCATTTCGTCTTTACCTGGAGGTCTGGTCTCCAATGGATGCATCTCCAGCCATGGTTGTAATATGTTTTACCTTTTCCCTGACTCTCTTGAGGGCCTAGCTCTATCTGACTGCCTATGATATTTCTACCTGTCTATAATAATGGAAGGCAGCGAACTTCATTACACAGGTAGGGTGGGTTTAGGTTCTGTCTCTGCTGTGGGAACTTCTTTGGGCTCTGTCTAGGCACGGTCCCTGTCTAAGCAGACATCACTCCAGCCTGTCATCCTGAGCCATTTTCTGCATGCCTCGTTCACCTTTCTCCTTCTGTTTGGCTCTGGAAGTCACGCATCTGCTCAACAAGTTGGCCAGATTCCTGCTCGGCTTGGTTTCCAGTCTGTGCTGTGCCTTCATCTCCAGAAGCCAGAGAAAGTGGTGCTGGGCTGCGCCGGTGGGTAGCTCCAAGGAGTCCTCTTCGTCCTGTTTCCTTCTCAGAAGTTAGACCTTGGGATGGCTTCCAGTGGCACTGAGGTCAGAGCTATTGCTCCAGCTAAAGCTAACAGTGTTCTGCTCAGGAAGTGGACCCCTGCCTTCCCAGAAGACAACAGAACAGAAGCAGCTGGAGGTGGGAGACTGCAAACAGGTGGGGGAAGTTTCCGGAGGGGGGCGGGGCCTGTGGGAGGGGCCTCCCTGTGAGCACAGCCACAGTGCTCTGCCTGACGAGTTTGGTCCACTGGAGCTTTGCCTGGCATGGGGGTGACCACCGAGACTGAGCACTGACCATTAGCAGCCTTCAGGTTAAATTCTCAAACCTGACGTGCTTGCAGGTCCTCTACACCTCATGTTAAAATGTAGATCTTTTTAATAGTCCTGGCTCAGACCCTGAAGCTTTCTCAAGCTCCCACTGATGCCCCTGGTGCCATCCACATTTTGAATAGCAAGAGGTTAGGTTTCTATTTCCTGCCTTCATATCCCCAGCTGGGCTATGTCATTTTATCAAAACAATGTGGTAGGAGTGAGGGCCCCGTTGCAGCCATTACAGCCTCTTGAATCATCCATTGTTAAAGCTGTTTTTTGTAAGTACATTTAAAAGGCCCCGCCCCTTATTTCTCCATTGTGCAAGAAATCCATTTGCAACAAGATACTGTGGGCAAGTGAGCCATTGTGCAAAAACAATTTTTTTGCCCCAGCCAGGTGGCTGCTGGTGGCTGCTGGGGTAGGGAGTTGCCTGTGGTAGGGATGATAGTACCTGTTGGTACCAATTCCACAGTGGATGGGGAACACTTGGTTGCAGTGTTTCACCTCTCACTACTGTTTCCCCCAAGGTGTGCAGGAGGATGAGGAAGAAGCTGAACAGAAGCATGAGGCAGAGTTCTACAGACAGCGGAGATTGTTTTCCATTCACTCTGGCAAGGACACCCACACCTTTTACATCAATTTACAACAAGAAGGACAATTTCCTTCTCGAGAGTGCCAATGGGGGGATGAGGAGGAGGCTGGAGAGGAGGGAAAGAGGGTAGTCCGAGTATAAGAGGACCTCTGGGCTTCCAGAAGCAGCAGACATCAAGTACAGGCCACAGGGTTAGGAGGAACAGTCAGTCCCTTAGAATCACTTTCTACCAGAGGCAGAAGGGGCTCAGCCACCAACAACCCCATTTGACAGAGGAGAAATCAAGGCTGTAGTCAATTCTCCCTAAACTGCAGAGTGAGAAGCCAAGCGTAGACCAGAGCACTATCTCCCGGCATAGGGAGGGAAAGCTTCTTGACTCTGGAATTGCCTGGGAAGGGCAAAACATTTGCAGCCACACAGCCAGGAGCCCGGTTGGTTATTTTTAGCTTACTGAATGTCAAAATCCAGGCTGCTCCTCCCAGTGGCCTCCACTTGTCAGACCCAATCAAGGCATGTGCATGTCAGGCAGGGGAATCAGCTTCCCACAGAAGCAGCCTTGAGGCCCCGTCCAGTCCCACATGGTGCCCCTGATAAGGCCCTGGGGTGTCCCTCATGGGGTCCAAGTCCAGCTGGTTGGGAGCAGCTCTCCACCCACCTGCCAGGGCGTGGCTCCCACCTGCAGCCTGGGTCACACCTGAGCACAGTCCGCAGCCTTTGCTTGCCTGGGTTTTCCCTGGGCTGAAGCCAGCTCGGCAGCCCTGCTTTGGTAAGGGGTGACCACAGGAGCTGGTCTCTGACCCCAGCCACCGTTTGGGCTTCTGTCTTCGTTTTGACGTTTTGGGACTCTCCCGCCTTTGCTTGCTTTTCTCCTTCTTAGCAGCACTCTCGCTCTGACTCTAATTCCTCTCAAGATGAAAATCATGGGGCTCGTGTCTCCGCAGAATCAACACAGGTTACAGGAATAAAAGCAAGCTGCAGTCCTGAGTGCTGCCCAACTGTCGGAACACCTACTGGCTGGGCTTTGGACACAAACACTCCCCCTGAGCCTCAGGAGGCTGACAGTCCCCTGGACAGAAGAGCATGAGGCCTTCGTGCTGGGATCTCAGGACGGGTTGCACAGGACTTTGTGAGGCGAAACAGGGTGTCGGGGGGTAAGACTTTAGAGCTGGCAGGGTGGGCTTCTCTCAGGTCTGACAAGGTGCAGGGAAGGAGAGGGGAAGAAGCAGCATGAGTGGGAGGGCGAGCAAAGAGGAACTCATGAGCCAGAGCAAACAGACTTTATCCTGACAGAAAGCAGGGATTTGGAGGGGTTAAACAGAGAAGCTGCCATTCAGGTTTGCTTTCGTAGGCGGACTGGAGGCAGAATGGCCATAGGTGCCTATATAGGGGCAGCAGCTCCTCAAAGGTGGCAGCATTTCCAAGAGCAGGAGCCATCTCCATTGCGGGACTCCCACTGGACCTGGTTCTCCTCTGCTCACACCCACCCCTGCCTGGGTGCCCTACTCCGTCCCTGGGCTCCCTGAACCCCACTGGCCCTCACCTACCTTTAGGTCCAATGCTCAGTTGTCTGAACCCTCAATCCCCCTTCTGCTTTCCCAATCCCCAATTACTAATTTGCTCCTTTGAAGTGGGACTTTAAAAGAAGGAGAAAAATCAAGTCTCCCCAACCTTAAGCTGTTCCCCCTCAGACTTCCTCCCTCCTTAGGGCTGTTGTTAACTTTGTTCCTATAAGTAAGGTCTTATGACCCCTCACTTCTATGAAATCCTGTTTTAGCCACCACGATACGGTACATTGCAAAACGGTCACTACTTGACTGCTTTTTTTTTTTTTTGGACCAGGGATCGAACACAGGACCTTGGGCTTTCGAAGCAGGTGGCGGAACCACTGAGCTAAATCCCGGCCCTTGACTAACTGCTTTTGATCCGCTTCTGGAAACCCATATGCCCACCCTTAGGATGACCAACTAGGAAGACCAAGCCCTTCAGCCACATGTGTAAAACTAGAGCCTCTTCCTTGTCTGGGACTCAGCCTTTGGATACAAATCCACTGGGCCGGTTTGCACCTAAGTAAATCCTCCTGTTTCACCCACTGGTCTCTCTGATCTCTTAAATTCTACAACACCTTGACTCAGTGAATATTCAGCAGCTGCTTAGGTACGAGGTGTTGTGCTACTTATTGGAGGATTAAAAAAAAGTAAGATCCCAAAAGCTCGGACTTTGTCCAGTGGTTCCAAAACTTGCCCGTGCTTCAGAATCATCTATAATGTTTTTTAAAAAAAATACAGCCAGTTGGGGTTCACCCCAGGGCTGGCTGAATCAGAATGCCCAAACATAAGTTTCAGGAAGTCGTATTATTAAATGTTTCCTCCAGATAATGTTGCTGAGCAGTCAGAGCCACTGACCTTTAGAGAAACGCTGAGGTGGAATTTCCCTGGTGACTTTTCCTCTACATACGTGATTGGGAGTCTGGCTCCTGGACGCAAGATGGTCAGGGGCATCACCAAAGAAGAGGACAGGATTGTGCTCAGCAGAAGGGAGCTGCGAGCCTGGGCCTGCTCTCTGGCCTTCAAAGAACAGCTGGGATGGATGAAGGCAGGGAGAGCAGGATGTTGTGGGGTGGTGGGGTGGTGGGGTGGGCTGTGGCTGCTGAGGGTGGGAGGTGTCTCCTCTACCTAAGTTATACAAAATCCTTCTGTTTCAGTAGCACTTGATTACTCTGTTCAAGTAGGGATGGTGGCTGTGATGAATAAAAATACTCATCCTGCATGTTGTGCACAAACCTGTAAATTTTCACCAGTTTAGTCTGAGTCCTGGGACAAAGTGAAGCAAAGCAGGGCTACTAATGCACTGTCTCCAGAAAGAGCCCCAGGAGCCTTTGGCCACCCTCTGAGGGACTCCAGGAAGCAGAGTCCTGTTGGATTATGCCTGCCACCTCACGTGAAGGGGACCGGCCTTCATGGAGTTGGAGAGAATTAATTTCTCTTTGAGAAGACTGTACCCAGAAACCTAATTATTATGCATTTATTTGTTTAGAGCTAATTCTGGGCCAGGTTCAATATAGCTTCAAACATGAATATATTTGCAATCTATCTGGGAAGACAGACCACAGTTGTGTGTAAAAGTAAATAAATATAAGACTTCAATATTTCAGACAACACTGTAAGAGTTTTTGTTTTGGCAGTGCTGCGGGGCTCATTCATACCCTTCTTTTTTTTAATTTTTAAATTTTTGATACCGGGGATTGAACTCGGGTCTTTGCACTTGCGAGGCAGGCGGCGGAACCACTGAGCTAAATCCCCAGCCATTTTTTTTTTTTTTTGAGATAGGGTTTCACTAAGTCACCCAGGTGGGACTCAAGCTTGTGGTCCTCCTGCCTCAGCCTCCAAGAGTGCTTAGATTACAGGAATGTGCCACCACAGCTCTCTTGGATGGTTCTGTGTTTATCCAAGGTACTAGATTACAACCACTTATCCAAACAGCAAGCATTAGAGAATACTCTGGGTGACATTTAGAAATTCAAGGGAAAGCCTTTGTCCTCAAGAAGCTTACAATTCCCACAGGAAGACAGGACACAGGAATATGAAATGCAAAAAAAAATATGGTGCAGGCTGGAATGGGTGTGATTTAGTATCAGATGAGCAAGTGATTCAGTGTCAACGCTAAGCATCCATAAGATTTGCACTGAAACATCTAACTCTTTTCGTATAGATCTAGGCAACTTTCAGGAGGTGAGCCCTGGTGCCTAGCAATGAATCCATGCTCATTTTCAGGGAAGGAGTTGGGAGACCACTGACTTTATAGTGAGTAGAGTCTTACGATGGGGCTTTGTGCTTAGTCTTCTACATTATTGTAAGCCAGCAGGAACAAGAGATTCCTGACCATGGATGTGTGGGTTTCCATCTGGACAAGTCACTGTGACCCGTGCCTGTGAGTTGGGGAGATGGCTCCGAAGAGCCAGGTGGGAAGGAGGGCCACGAAGGCGAAGGTGAGAAGGTCAGGCCTTGCTGACTCCTGTGGGGCTTGGGTAGCCACAAGGGCCTTGCCTGCAGGCTTCACGGAGGCTGCCTCTCCTTCCCTCACCCAGCCGGGTGCATAGCCAGGGCCTTGAAATCTCGGGAGGAACTGTGCTCAAGGCCTGGGCTGGCAGGTTCTGCACTGCACTCATGCACATCCCTGGGTGTCTTTATCTGAGGTCCCTGGGTGAGGAGGAGGAAGAAGGTGCCCGGGTGAAGGTAGGCAGGGGAGGGCACCTCGGGGGCAGGCACTGTCCCTGCTTAGACTCAGGTCCTGGGTCTTTTGCACTGCCATTCCTCCCTCCTTGACCTGAGGGTTCATAAACTGCGGAGCCTTTGTTCCAGGCTGTGCACTGCCCAACCTGACCCGGGCCTCTGTGCTGTTTCAATGGGAAGTGGAACAAGGGAGTCGGTGCCCTGTCTGGCTTTAGACCCTGGCCTCTGTCATGGCAGCGAGTTAGATTAAAGGCTTAACTCCCTTGCCTTCTCGCTTCAGTTGGCTGCTCCCACACCTGGGAGCTGAGTGCTCCCTCTCCTGCACAGTGAGTGCCAGACGGGAGTGACTCACTGGGGAGCAAGCACTCAGAGGATGCCCCACTTCTGTTGGAAGCAATGGCTTCTTCCCCTCATGTTTCTATACTCTGATCTCTGTCTTTGTGTCACACACAAATAGTAACTGACTGGGCACCAGTCACAGGGGCACAGGCTGCCCTTGGGGCTGGGCAGGGGGAAGAAGGGCGGTGAATGAGCCAGGTGCCAGGAAAACCCTGACTTAGACCGTGGTCCATCCAAACCTCCAGGCTCAGTTCTTTCCATTTCCTTTCCAGAGGGGAAACGGGGGATTCCAGAGTGAGTGACCTCTGGCCTGCACCCCTGGGGCCCAGCTCCTGGCAGGCTGCCTCCTGGAGTCTTGTCTGCCTTCCCGGTGTGGCTTCTGTTCAGAGCTGTGCCCTGGGTGCCCAGGACTGTCTCGGAGCCTGGAGCCTGATGGAGGGAGACTGCAGGAGTCCTCAAACTTGACTGTGCATCCGAAGGTGGTCAAAACCTTGAGGGCTGCTTAAAACACAGACTTGCTGGCCCTGCTCCAGAGTTCCTCATACAGTAGGACTGGGATGAGGCCTGAAAATGTACATTTCTAACAAGTTTCCAGATGTGGCTGATGAGAACCACTGGATTAGACTACAAACAACCAAAAAGTGACAGGGAGACAAGGAAAAATCCATAAAGGCAGGTGGCAGGAAGGCTAGGGAGAGAGTAGCGGTGTCTATTCTGGCAGCAAATGAGTTCCAGGGGTTGGGAGAGTCTCCTCTTCTCTCCACCTTTCATCTTCCCTGACCTTGGGCCCTTCTAGAAGTTTCCCAGAAGCATTCAAAGCCTCCCCTCTGTTGGGGGTGGGCACTTGGGCACCTGCAGGGGTTCTGGGAGCTGGCATTAGAAAGGCACAGAGTCGCCTCCTCTCTCAACACTTCTACTCCTCTGTCCAGAGGGCTGCAGGTTTCTCTGCTGCCTGCCCTTTGTGGGGCCTGGGGGCTGCCGAGCTGAAAGCCTTGGGGATAAGGGGTCTTGGGCAGTGACTGCAGCAGTGTCACCCACCCATCTCTCGCTGCCTCTGTGCTCTCACCCAGGCCTGGTAAGGCCAAGGGCACTGACACCTTCCAGGGCCTGTTCTCCTGCGTCATCAGCGAGAACACTGTGTGTTCACCAGGGCTGAGTGTGGGTCTCAAAGCTCTAACGTGGCATTCAAATGTAACGGTGTAGACTTGAGCCATGCAGGGGAGGAGGAAACTGAGAGAAGAAATACATTTAGCTTGTTCTCTCAGTTGAAGCTGAAAACTCAGGAGCGGATCTGAAATGACGACCTCTCCAAGTCTACTCACTGTTTAATCAGTTTTATTTGGCAGGGAGAAAATGAAGTCACAAATGGGGCCCAAAGCTGTTCCAGGGGCAGCAGCAAGCTTAGGTGGAACCTACAGCTTGGCCTAACGAAAAGGCCGAAAGCAGAAAGGTTCCAGGGCAGGAAGAGCACAGCTGGAGCTGTGGCCCCACTGCCGTTCCCCACGACAGTCCCAGCTGCCTAGCAACCCACCAAGGCAGCCCCTTGACTTGCAGGCTGCCC